ATCACATAATGAGTTCACATGTAGACACAAAAGGCTGATAAATTGAGGAGATTCAATTCCTGCTTGCAGAAGTATTACATAATTTATTCCTACATTAGAGAAACAGCATCTTTTTTTCACAAGCCTTTACAACTCCTTAAATTGAATTGTTACTTCAAGTATAATAAAAGCACTGTAGTTTTAAAAAAAAAAAAAAAATCAGTTGCAGCAAGGCAGATTCAAAAGAGGCCATTGCTGATGTCAGGCAAATCTTGGCTGATGGCAGAGAATACCAGAAAGATGTCTATGTGTGTTTTATTGACTATGTAGAAAGACATTTGAGTACAGATCATAATAAACTCTTGGTAATATTGTGATAAATGGGAGTTCTAGAACACATAATGGTGCTTACGTGAAATCTATACAATGACAGGGAGGTAGTTGTCCAAATAAAAAAATGGGTTACTTTGTGGTCTAAAATTAAGTAGTGTGTGAAAGGGTTGTAATCTCTCATCATACTTAATTATGAGCAAACAATCTGAGAGGCTGACTATATGAAGAAGAAAGTAGAATCAGGATTAGAAGGACTCAGCCAATTATACAAAATTGGCACAACTTTCCTTGCTGAGAGTAAAAAGGACAGGTAGCACTTACTATACAGGCTTCAGTACTGATAACATTCTAATATAAAAATCAAGGTTCCCACATCTGGACCAACAACAAAATCATGATAAATGGAGAAAGACTGAAGTTGTCAGGGACTTAATATCTTTGGAGTCACAGTTATCGCTCATGCATGCACAAGTCAAATTACTGCATTGGGCAAATCTGCTCAAGTCTGATTTTCAATTGTCTCATAGGCATGAGTAAGTTGGTTAATAAGGAAGAGCAAAGAATTGATGCTCAAAGTGCTAGCAAAGAATGCTGAATGTACCTGAAACTGCCAGAACAAAACAAAACAAATTACAAGTACATCCAGAATGTTCCTTAGAAGATGGGCAAGACTTCATCTTGCTTACTTTGGACATGTTATTAGGGAGGCCCAATCCCTGAGGACATCTGTCTGGCAAAGCAGGTGAGTGAAGATTGACTCAATGGTCCAGATGCATTTACACACGCCCAATTCTGATAGGGACAACTACAATTTTAGTAAACCACTAAGAAAAGCTCCAATTTCAGAACTCACACATATAGCATATTCATAGTATTGGGAGTGTGACTTCCAATGCAAAATCTCTGGACTGAAATGAAAGTAACCATTTAGCTAAGATCGCCAGTGAGTAGAGCTGAGCTGCCATATGAAAATCGGGTGGTTTAAATATACTAGCTTCTCCATGAAAGATGGGCACGATCCTGTCGGGCAACATACAGCCTCTGAAAACTTGCTGAAGGCTTCCAACTTGATGACAAGGAGGGTTTTAAATTTCTACAGGAAAAGGAGGCAGTGGACAAGCCTTGGTAATTGATACTTTGACCATTCTAGTGCATATGTGACATGTGAAGTCACTGTTCAGATATAATAAGAATTTTGAACCATCTCTGAATTGTTAAATGAAGGGAATGACAGAAACCTTCTCAGTTCTTCATGAGGACTCTCCATATGGTCCCCGCTATGACCTGGATTGAACCAGCTCTCAATCTTTGTAGCCAGGAAGCTGAAAATTCTTATCTGAAATGTTGAGAAAGGTGAATGAAATGAAGATAAAGTTGAGAAGCTAATGTCTAACATAACCACAGACAAATGGGAAAGAACGGATCCATAAAACAGCTGCACAGGTTTCTGCTTGTTTCATCAATCAGAAATGATAGGTTCTCAGGGATCCTGATCAGCAGAAATGTGGGCCTGGATCTCAGGTCAGGTGTGGAGAAAGCAGATGGCCAAGCTGCTCCAAGGCCCCGTGTTTGCAGAGCACAGAGCCGTGACGGGACAGGTGACAAAAAGAGGATGCATCTACAACCAGAAGATAAAATAGATTAATGGGACCTTCTAAGAATCAAATCCCTATGTTGTTGTGTTGTTAGGTGCCATTGAGTCGCTTGTGACTCATAACGACCCTATGTACAAGAGCCCTAAACGCACTCCTATCCTGTGCCAACCTCACCGTCTGAAACACATTCATTCATTCCCACCACTCGACTCAAAGAAACAATCCATCTCTTTGAGGGTCTTCCTCTCCTGCGCTGTCCCTCCACTCTCCCAAGCATGATGTCCCTCTCCAAGGACCAGTCCCTCCCTGCAACATGCCCAAAGTTTGTCAGATGAAGCTTCAGAATCCTTGACTCCAAGGAGCATTCCAACTTCACCCTCTCCAGGACAAACCTGTTTGTTCTCCTAGCAGTCCATGTTATATCCAACACTCTTCTCCAGCACCACAGTACAAAGGCATCCATTCTCTTTCTATCATCCCTATTCACTGTCCAACTCTCTTAAGCATAGAACATAATTGCAAAGACCATAGCCCGGATCAGGCACACCTTAGTCTCCAGACTGACATCATTGCTCTTCAGTATTCTTGAGAGATCCCTCACAGCTGACTTTCCCATGGCAATTCATCTCCTGATTTCCTGGCTGCTGTTACCAAGAGTGTTGACTGTGGAACCAAGTAAACTAAAACTGTTAACTATCTCAGTCTCTTCACCAGCCATACTGATGCTACCAATTGGCCCAGTGGTGAGAATCTTTGTTTTCTTGATGTTGAGCTTCAATCAAAATTGAAGACTGCAGTCCTTGACCTTCTGCAGCAAGCACCTCAGATCCTCCTCTGTTTCAGCAAGCAGGGTTGTATCATCTGCATAATGCAGGTTGTTGATGATTCTTCCACCAATCCTGATGCCACACTCCTCCTTGTACAGCCCAGCATCTTGGATTATTTGTTCTGCATACAGATTGAAAAGGTATGGAGACAAAATACATCCCTGACAGACCCTCTTCTTGATTTTGAACCATCTAGTGTCTCCCTGCTCTGTTCTGATGACTGCCTCGTGGTATAAGTATAGGGCTCGCATTAGCACAATCAAATGTTCTGGGATTCCCATTCTTCTCAGAGTCAGCCACAGTTTGTTGTGATTCGCACAGTCAAAAGCCTTTGCATAGTCAATGAAGCACAAATAGACATTCTTCTGGTATTCTCTGCTTTCTGCAAAGATCCACCTTACATTAGCTAGAAAGAATATCCCTAGTACCAGGACCTCTTCTCAATCCAGCCTGCACATCCAGCAGTTCTCTGTTGACATATTGTTCCAAACATTTTTGGATCATTTTCAGCAGAATCTTGCTTGCATGTACTATCAATGACATTGTTTGATAATTGCCACACTCTTTTGGGTCACCTTTCTTTGGAATGGGAATATCTATCTTTACCAGTCGGTTGGCCAGCTGGCTGTCCTCCAGATTTCTGGACACAACTTATTGAGCACATCCAGGGCAGTGCCTGTTTGTTGAAATAAATCAATTGGTATGCTGTCAACTCCTGGAGCCTAGTTTTTTGCCAATTCTTCAGAGCAACTTGAACTTCCTCCTTCATCACCATAGGTTTTTGCTCATGTTATTTCATGAAATTCCTGTGTGTCAGCCAATTCCTTCTAATACAGTGACTCTGTGTACTCCTTCCATCTTCTTTTGATACTTCCTGGGTCATTTAACATTCTATCCAAACTATTTTTAAGTTTTGCCACCCATACCTTGACTTTGTTTTTCAACTCCTTCAGCTTAAGAAACGCTGAGCAAGTTCGGCCCTTTTCATTTTCTGACTCCAGCTCTCTGCACATTTCATTATAGAATCTGTGTCGTCCCGAGGTGCCTTTTGAAATTTTCTGTTCAGCTCTTTGATTTCTTCCTTATGCACATGAAAAATTCAACAGGGTAAAAAGAGAAGTCACAGACTGGGGAAAAAAGTATTTGGTAATGACATGTCAGATAAGGGACTTATATCTAGAATTTATAAAAAACACCACCACAATATGAACAATCCAATTGAAAAATGGGCACAGGATATGAACAGACACTTCACCAAAGATAATCAGAAGGCCAACAAGCACATCAAGAAATGTTCAAAATCTCTAGCTCTGAGAGACATGCAAATCAAAACAACTATGAGATAGCATCTCACCCCAGTAAGAACTGCAAAATTTATCAGAACAGCAAGCAACAAATGCTGGTGAGGTTGTGAAGCTGGAACCCTTATTCACTGCTGGTGGAAGTGTAAAATGGTGCAAACACTGTGGAAGGCAGTGTGGTGCTTTCTCAAAAAGTTGCAAATAGAGATACCATTTGACCCAGCAATTCCACTACTGAGAATATACCACAGAGAGACCATAACTGCCACCCAAGCAGATATATGCACACCCATGGTTATCACAGCTTTGCTAATAGCAAGGAGTTGGAAACAACCTAGGTGCCCATCAACAAACGAATAGACAGAGACGCTGTGGTATATTTACACAATGGACTACTACACTGCATTGAAAAATAAGGAACTCATGCAACTATACAAAATGGGTGACCCTGGAGGACATTTTGCTTAGTGACATATCTCAGTCACAAAAAGACAAATACTGCATAGTGCCACTGATGTAAAACAGGATTGACATTAGTTTTGGGGGGAGACTGAGAAAGATGGGATAAATAATGTATACTGCATTGACACAGATGAGGGGAAAAACTGTTTAAAAGGGAGATGTGATTAGGTATTATTGTCCCAGAAGGAAGGCTGCATAGTGGAGTAGGCCTGGAGGGAGGGACTGCAAAACAATGAAAAAATGTTTTACTTTTCAAAGAGTTCACTGGTTGGGGGAGGGGTGGGCAGGGAGAAAGTACAACAATGAATGAATGGAAATCCAGTCTCTGTAAATTTTCATTAAAATTAGTAATAAAAAAAAGAGGATGCAGGCAACATAGTGGCTACAATACACTAAATGGTCTTGACTGGCTGAGGAGGGATGGCCTTGAGGCAATGACTGGGGCCTTGTGGTTGAGTTCAAAGGGATAAAATGCAAATGAGATACAGTGTAATATTGTGACCAAATATTGGTATAGTGGGATTTCTATTTTTATAGAAGTGGTTCTATAAGCACTAAAAGTGTTACTGTATTGTACCCAGGGAAAGAGGCACTGAGAAGAGTTAAAAACAAATTAAAAACTAAAAATTGAAGCTATAAAAATGACCAAGAAAATTTAAAAATAAAGCACAACAGCTGAGCAAGGAGACTGTAAACCATGTACTAAGGCTCCTGGAGAGTGTCAAGGAGGTCCTGAAACACAACAAAGGCTCTTTCAGTCATCATGAATCTCACACAAGTAGCTGTGTCTATGGGAGAATAATGATGTGGAAGATGTCACAATGATGAGGCCTCTGTTGTGGCCAGTGTAGAATAGGCAGGCTCTACGTTTGAAGGGTGCAGATGTCTGGATCCAGATTCTATCAAGTCAGTCCATTTCTTGGCATTTTCCCCAGACCGCTTCCCAAAACTGTCAATTAAAGACAAATCATTGGCCTTCTCTTCACTGTATTTCTAGGCATACAAAGTTGTACCTTAGTGATCAACAGGGAGACTGCCAATGAATTCCCCTGAGACCTGGAAATAGTCCTTTGATACACTAAAATACATCAAGCTCCAATTAAGGTAACCTGCAATGCAATGTTCCATAGAGCAAGTGGAAACCTAACAGTTTTTGTTAAGCTCTATATGTGAACACCAGTAACGTGATCAGTGTAGAACATCTAGAACATATACTCAAAAAACACACCAAAAGCAGCAAGCTGGCATATACATCCACATTGTCTACAGATGACTTGGTACTTTCTGCTCAGCATAGTGCGGAATTTGGTGCTCCACTGGGCATCAACCTGGCTGGTATGGAATGATACCACATTCCATGTCCAGAATAGCCTTATATGGTCTACCAGGTATCTGATTTAAGGGAGTCAAAAGAATCCAGTACTAGAAAAGAATGTTTCCCACTGTTAGTAAATTGATTCTGGGTTTATTCTTGATGTCAAACAACAGTCCACCTGATTTTAGCCAAGAAGAGTCCAGACTTGTAAATTTACCAAGGCAACTCCATTTTTCAAGACTTCTTTCTCTACACTCATTTCTAGTCTGTCAGTCTGTTCAACTTATAACCTTTAAAGGTCAAAACTGTTTAATATGGAGTAACCCCAGGAAGGTACAGAAAAATGATCAGAAGCTACATTCCTAACTACTCTCAGAATGCCACCTACCTAAAAGCTCAAAGTGCTGTACATTGACAATATAAGTGACCAACATCTTACTAACATTTCAAGGGCTTAACTATATACAGTTAATTACTATCATATATTAAACACAGATCTAGAAGGCTATTACACAAGTTCTACCAGAAACCTTCTTAAACATTTCCAAATCACTTTAATCTAGCCACTTGCCTGGAGGAAGCAGGATGAGGTATAAATCTCATCAGCCCAAGATCTAAAGCAAGGCATGCCTTATATTGTGAATTAGCCAATCATCTTAGTGAAAATAGTACTACCAGTTTACTAGGTCCTTCTACTCAGGACTGACCATTTCTGGGCTTTGAAAAAAAGTTTCTAAAAGCACAGATGAAGCCAAGATTTTGTTGCATTTAGTATGTATACTTCAAGATACTTAATACCATCAATTCCTCAGTTCCAAGTCTTTCTGTCAATTTAGTAGTATCCCTTAGAAGCTGCCACAATGCTGCACATTATAATTTCTACAGTTCCCCAGATCTGTGAAAGAATGCTACCTCTGAAGGATTTCCTGGCTATAATTTTAAATTCTCCACCATGGTCAGTACACAGGTTTTTTGCATGTACATCCTTATTTCTTTAACGTCTCATTTTTCTAATAACTACAATTTCCATGATCTTTGAAACCAATGACTACTCCTTCTCAGTCTCATTGTCCAACAAAGACAGTGATTTTCATTGCTACCAGCAGCATCTACTCTGAGGAACTATCATTATTTTTTGTCTTGTTTTAGTCCATCTTCTGCATAAAGTTTCCAAAAACTATTCTCAAATGTGTATTGCAAAGACTGTATGAGACAGAGCACAGGATACAGCAACAAAAAAAAAAAAAATTTGACTAAAAGCATATTCCTTTTCTTATTCTGCATCTTCTACATTCTATTATTCTGACCAAAGGATGAAGTGGTGTTGCTCTGACAACTTTAGGGTGCTTCCTTTTCTCTTTAAACCATTTTTATATCAGTCATTAAATCAAGTACATTTTAAAAAATCATACTCATAAATCATAATCATAAATTTTTTAATTCTCATAAAGCTTTATAATCACTTTTAAAAGCATGTGACATGGCAGATCTTTTATACAATGTGAGATGTGTTCTTTATTTGCTATCATACACAAACCACACTGAACTTTTTGTTACTCAAAAGCCAACATTTTAGATACAGGGAATTTTAATTCCATTAACACAGTCAAGGGCAAATAGATAAAGTCTTGCTACTTTATCTCTAGCCCTTGTATTTAAAGATGCTGATAGAAATTGAAGCAGGTGAGCTGAGTTCTGTTCCATGTGACAGTACCAGTGACTGATTATACAAATTTTATTTAAATACAAGGATGTCTTATCAGTTACAGAAATCTAAATATAAAACCCATCTCCTATAGATTGTGATGCCGCATCCACCATCTGTTAAAAACTGAGTAAAACTAATGGTATGAGATCAATTTAAATATGGTACATGTGAAAAAAAAAAAAAAGTCACAGGACATTTCTACTTTGTAATAAATAAGGCAGAGGTCAACTATGTTATTCATTGGTAGCTTCCTTAAGATAAGCTATCAACTCTGCCCTTTCTGTCTTCTTCTTAATGCCAGCAAAGATCATCTTTGTTCCGGGGATGTATTTCTTGGGATTCTCCAGATACTCCATCAGTGTATCCTCTCCCCAGGTGATACCTAAACAAGAGCAGCAATAGTAAAGAGTTTTACTACACTCTTGAGAAAAGGTCACCATAAGATAAATTCATGCATTTTGTACTATCTAACTGTACTGCTCTTACCTTTGTTCTTATTGGCATCTGTATAAGAGAATCCAGGGGCTTGACCAGTCTTCCGCCCAAATAAACCATGCAGGTTCGGCCCAGTCTTGTGCTTGCCCCCCTTCTCCACGGTGTGGCACTGGGCACACTTCTGCACAAAAATTTTCTTGCCCTTCTCAACATCACCCATTTTGAAGTCTACAACAAGAAAACTCCAAGTTAATAACTTTTTCTCTAAATAAAACCTACAAAGGCAACCAATGATCATGAACCCACTGCTTTCATCTCCCACTTTGAAATCACGTGTTTTCAGTAATGGAAGGTTATTTTAAATGAATTGAAAATGCCACACACTAAGTGGGACAATGCTTAGTGCTATCTATTTTCCACTACCTCTAAGAGGGAAAACGTTGTTAAGCACTGTATGTCCCATGTGTATGTATTAAAGTGTCTTTTTTTTTAAGTAAATCTTGTTTTATCTAGTTCACTCCAAAACCTCTTTAATATCAAGACACTATTTAGAAGAAAAACCTCCTTAAAACAAGGGTAAATGCCAAGTAAGCAAAATGGAAAGCTACTCCTGATGCTGGTTTCAAAAGATCAGGTCAAGGTCACATCTAGTGTCACAATTTAAGTTGTACCTTGAAGACACAAGACTATCATTCCAACTTTTATAAAGGCCCAATTTACTCATACTCCAATAAACTCATCTTTCCTTGAAGTTAAGGCAAGACATTTCAATTGAAATAAAATACGTCTAGGGCTCAGCAGCAGGTACCTCCCTCCCGTGAGTTAAGTGTTCAATGAGATACTCCCACGGCCATCCCCACCATGCAGCTCCCAAATTCCCGCAACTACCGACAGGACACCCAGCAAAGGGGGTTTCAAGGAGACTGGGATGTAAGCAGCCTTTACAGAACACCTGAGCTCAATGGCGGGTGGCGTTGATCGGTAGGGTGTTAAAAACCCCAAGAAAACGCCTTTACTCTAGAGGAATAGCGTTTTTGCTCTCTTTGAATGAGAAACTAGAATTGTTGGTCACCGTTCCCGAACCCCTTCCCTAGACAAGCAAGTCCCCTGTCCATTATTTTCAGTTACCTCACTGATATCTCCATGCCTTCAAGGCTTTAACAGAGTCCCTATTTCTACCTTAATAGGGTTCCACGAGCATAAAGTCCTGGCCCTCTGGGTTCGGCCTGATCCAGGCCCGAAGCCGTCACTCCCCGCCCTGCTCGCCCCACGCGGGTTCCACCCAGAGGTCCCCGCCAGCGTGCCTCAAATTGCCCGCTTGCTCCCTAGTGGGTTTGTGCCCCTCAAAGGTAAGCTTCCCAACCTGTATCCTTGCCGTATTGACACCTAACTCACCACTTTGTAGTCCTGCAAAAGCCGAAGATAAATTCTCAGGCACCGGACGTCCCGCTCTCTGATTCCAAGGACACGCCGGCCCGCTTTTATGAAGAAGTGTGCGTGTAACCAAACTCGATCCGCCCTACGGCGGGGGGCCCGGCGAGGGCTCCAGCGTGACGTAGCTACATCTCTTTGGCTCCGTATGCATCATCCATTTGCGCGCGCATGCCGGCTAGCAAGGTAGGCTGCGCTGCGTGGGTGCCCTTCCTCTCGAAGCTTCCTTTGCCCGGCTTTTACGACAGGCCATACAGGACAGATGACGTCCAGGTTGTACCAGTGGTGGTTAACGCCTGGCATGAGTATGGGGCTAAAGTGCGTGGCTTAGGGTCACAGGGCGTAGTCCTCTAAGGACTTGCACTCGTGATGTAAGGGTTCTGGAGAATCGTATTTTGCCCTGTCAGAGGAATGCGGAAGCACCTAGACGTCTCTTGGCTGCCATCCTTTCTTCTGGCGACCCTTACCCAAACTCAGTCATACTTCCACAGCTGGCACCAACGGCATCTCACAGGGACAGCCTGGAGCCAGGCATTAGTGAGATTTGCATATTTGATAGTGACCTTGTTCTTGTTTCACCTCGGAGCTTGTTACTTTAAAGTCATTTTCCAAATCTCTCCTTGGTAGAGCCCCAGAGGGAGGTACTGGCCTGCTTGGGGTTGCTTGTTGGGTTTTTCTTGGTTTTTTTTGTTGTTGTTGTTGCCAAATCCCTCTCCCTGTTCAAATGCTTAAAAAGAAATGTGAAGAGTGCAGACAGCATCTGAGAAGAAACTTTTCTAAAGGATTATGGAGAAGACTAGGGGGCGCAAGTGGTTACAAGCACTCACTGCTAAGTGAAGCCGATTTCCAACCTTCCAAACATGGGCAGTTGTGAAAATCCTAAGGGACGTTTTAGTTTTCCTTTAGTGTTGCTATGAGTTGGAATTTGTTTTTAATTCCCCCCCCCTCCATCCTTTCTCATGAAGGTAAAACCCAGTTCCCAGAGTGGTTTCTAAGCCTTAGCGATTCTCCATCAAGTTTCCAAGCTTGTAAATCTTTTAAGAGACTTTTCAGGGTATATTCCCAGTAGTGGAATTGCTGGGTCAAATGGTATCTCTATTTGCAACTTTTTGAGAAAGCGCCATACTGCTTTCCACAGGGGTTGC